ACGGCCAAAGAGCCCGAAAAACCCACAACAACCAATTTAATCTTCACATGCAAGAACACACCAAAAAGATAATCCTTAGGTGTGAACAAAGATCCATCCATAAATAATCCTGGGGGCAAAGTAGAGAAAGGAATAATGAAGGTGGAATATAAAATGTGACAAGAAAAAAGGGGAAGGGTCCACAACTCCCACTTCCCACCTCATTGCTTGTTATATGTAAGCACCCTTTCCTCGAAAAGAACAAGTTTGGATTATCAAGAAAACTTCCTGCAACTATTTTCCATTTTTGAGGATTTGTATTTTACACTATTTTGGCAAATCTGTACAAGGCACTCTTGCAGCTCAGAGGAACACTGGTATCAGAATAATAGAGCAAGAAACTACTTAAATGAACTCACACTAGAGATTATTAGAGGGCATTTAAATTTCATCAAATCCAGAAATCTGCTGTTAAGGTTTTTTTTTTAATCATACATGAGAAAATGGTTTAGCTAGGAAAAAAACGAAGTACATTTCCATTTTAAAACTTTAAATTATTTAAGGTATTTCCAACTATCAGTTGATTTTCATAACATTAAGATACTTTCTATTCATAACTGAGCAGGTTATACATCCCTCAGGAAAGTGATTAGAAACTGACAGTTTCTCCAGCACCATAAATGTACCATCTTATGTGACCAAATCATAACATAAGAATTATTATAAAGAATTATTTATATACTATAAATGACAAGAAATAAAAATTACAGAGTTTGGGGCTTCTGCGCAAACATGGTAAAGTACCAACAGAAATTTCTTTCTCTTCAGTAAAGTGACAACATATATATTTCAAAGTTCAACAATGTGGGCATTCTACTTGTACAGCTCTCTACGTGCAAACCAGGGAAGACCACTTGAGATGAGATGTGGAGCCAGCCACATACACCTTCACCAAGAGGTTAAGATAATTCCTTCCACATTATAGCATCTGAACAAGGGTGTAACAGCTAAATATGAGGCACATTTTTGAAAGGTGGCTGGGAGATTGGAATGCTAACTCCTCCCTGCTTAAAAACATAAAGAGCTAGTTCTACTTTGAGCAGGATCCATTCCCTCTCCTAAACATCTCTCAGACACTCTAAAGTCCCCAATGAACACCTTTGTTTAGAGGAGATGAGGACTGGCAACAGAGGGCAGGGGTACGGAAAGAGCAGAGAAACGTGGGGAGGCTGGACGTTGTCCTTTTCAAGCATTCAGCTTAGCACTCAAAATGTTTTACTAATTTTCAAGTTGAGCTGGAGGTGGTTTACTCATCCCTATTACTCATCCCTATTAAAGAGCTTCACCAAGCAGGGCATTATGCTCTTAATTTACATCCTAATACTCCAAATTTTGATACTTTAAATGCTCCGAAAGTTATGAGTGTGCTCACCAGCAGTTTTTCTGAAGCTATTCAGTGAATGAAGTACAAATCATAAAGAAGTCATTTGAGAACACTATTTTACCTTCTGGGGAACAGAGGCAGAACTGTACAATACTTACCCTGCTGACGGGTTTAGGAGTTGACTCATCTATGAGAAAAAGAAGAAAACAATTAGATGTTCTTCAAAAGTTATGGGCTAATCTTAGAATAAAAATCCTGTTTTGTTTGGCAAAATAACACAACACATTGCACAATCCTACCTCTGCTTTCATGAACAGTCTAACAGGTCCATTGCACAACAGTATTTTCAGTACTTTTTTTTTCTCCAAAGAGGTTTTAAGAATGAAAATCTATTCAACACATTAATGAATCAGACTCATATTAACTACTTTCTGTTTGTGCTAAGAAGGAAAAGCATGGTTCATGTGTGATACACAAGCACCATAGCTCTCTGAACTGTCCTTCCTGAAACATATTATCTAATATGAAGGGTAATAGTCATGCAGGGGATGCTGCAAGAGCTACTCTTCATATGATTCTCAGGGAAGTACTGATCTTGTACTTGCGTCCTATTAAAGTAGGTTCCACAAACCTGGTTTATCCCATCGAAACAAATTTACATTCCTGCCTGCCTCAATTTGTGGCATCATCAGATCTGCAGCCCGCTAAGCCAGAAACAAAACCACGTAACAGCATTGAGGTTGGAGTAAGCCATATTTACACTGCAGAGTATATTGAAACAACACTCTCATAATTTCACACAGTCCTCTTTCTTTACTTAGCAGATCCAGAAGAAGCAATGAACTGCTTAATCTGCACGTTGCCACTGCAATAGACTGCATTGGACTACAAACATGAGGCAGGAACAAAAAATGCAAAACATTCTTCTTGCGAAGCACGGCCATAGGAGTATTTGTCTTGCGAGTCATCAACCCCCATGGCCAAAACCATTTGTCTTGCAAGTTTTTTGTCCTGAGAGGCATTTGCCTTGCGAGGCACCACTGTATTTAGGCATTTGGCCTAACACAAGCAAAGCTTAAAGAGGGAACTTGTGTGCACACATAAACTCCAACTGCAAAAACTGGGATGTATGCATGCTCAAAAGCCTGATGGTGCCACTTTGCTCTAGCACCCCTGACCCTTTCACATTCAGCATACAGTTTTGAAGAATTATGTTAACTGTGTTTGGCTAAGTGCAGTTACAGAACTCGAATGATTTGAAGGCCAAGTCCTGAAGCTCTAGAATGCTGAGTGATAAGATCCCATTCAGGAATGGGGCCATTTGTTTGTTTGTTTTAAAATAGTGATATACCATCTTTCTCTGAAAGAATCTAAGTAGGCTTACAGTGTTAAAAGACACAAAGTTAAATGCTAAATATTACAATATTTTAAAAAGCATTACACAGATATCCTATTAAAATTCCTAATAAGAGTACACTGTAATATTAAAAATAAAAGTAAAACAGAGAATAAAATGCTCCCTTAAAAAAATCCCCTTGGTCAAACCAGTCATTTAAAGTAATGCCTGCATGAAAAGATCTTCATCTGCTTGAGGAAGGACAGCAAAGATGGGGCCAGTCTAGGTGCAGGGACAGAGAAGACCCTCTCTCACGTCCTCACCAAACACACCTGTGAGAGTGGTGGGAACAACAGAAAAGCCCCTCCTGGTGTTCTTAAAAACCAGATAGGCTCAACAAAGGGAGATACAATCTTTTAAATAGCTTGGACCCAAAACATTAAGGGCTTCATTGGTTAGTAACTTTTTACAGTGGTGCCTCGCTTAACGGCAATAATCCGTTCCAGGAAAATCACCGTTAAGCGAAATCATCGTAAAGCGGAAAAAACACATTGAAATGCATTGAAACCCCTTCAATGCGTTCCAATGGGGTCAAAACTCACCGTCCAGCGAAGATCCTCCACAGGGCAGCTGTTTTTGCTGCCTGTCTTGTGGGGAATTCGTCCCAGAAAACAGCAGGGAGTCATTTTGTTTACCCGGCGGCCAATTTTGAAACTGCCAATCAGCTGTTTTAAAATCGTTGTTTTGCGAAGAATCGGTTCACGAAGCAGGGAGCCGATCATCACAAAGCAGAAAAAACCCATTTAGACCATCGTTTTGTGATTGCAATTGTGATCGCAAAAAGATCATTGTAATGCGGTTTTGTTGTAATGTGGGGCAATCGTAAAGCAAGGCATGACTGTATTGTGCCAGGAAATGGATTGGCAGCCAATGAAGCTGCTGTAACAGGGGACTTATATGTTCCTTGTAACCAGCTCCAGTTAATAATCAGCAGCCTTGCTGGAATTTCCAAATACTTTACAGAGGCAATCCCATATAGTGGTGCCCTGCATTATGACAACCCCGCATGATGATGAAATCGCTTGACGACTTTTTTGCAATCGCTATAGCAATCACAAAACGATGGTTCCTATGGGTTTTTTCACTTTACGTTGATTAGGTCCCTGCTTCACGAACCGTTTGTTCGCAAAACGATGATTTTGCCGGCTTCGCAAAATGGTTTCCCTTTGTAAAATGGCTGTTTTCCAGACAGAAGTTTTGCAAAACAGCAATTTTAAACAGCTGATCAGTGGTTCTCTATGGGCGATCTTCACTGGACAATGAGGTATTTCCCCATTGGAACGCATTAACCGGTTTTCAATGCATTCCAATGGTTTTTTTCTGCATGACGACGATTTCGCTGTATAGCGATTTCAACAGAACAGATTATCGTCGTCATGTGGGGCACCACTGCAGAGTGCCTTACAGTAATCCAGCCAGTATATAATTAAGCCATGTGTCACCAAGGCCAGATCAGACCTCTCAAGGGAGAAGCAGAGTTGGTGCACTAGTTTTTACTGTACAAAGGCACTCCTGGCTACCACCAAAACCTGGGCATCCAGACTCAGAGAGAGATGCAGGAACAGCCCCAAGCTAAGCCATCAGTTGTTGAAACTTACCAGGTGATCATCTATCCATGACAATGGACATTCCCACAATATGCCCTGCTGATGCAAATGCCTGAACAAGGCTAAGAAGGGTCAACAAACTGAAGCTCCATCCAAACACAATAAGAAGTATTGTTGTGGGGTGGCTCCATTCTCCATGTTGCTGATCCATGGTGTTCAGCCTGTTCTTAACAGGGTCACACTCCCTATGACTCAATGGTTCTCAACTACAGATGGGCATAAATCAGAAAAAATGGTAATTTGTTTTGATTCATGATTCAGAGATTATTGAATCATGAATAACAAATTTACAAATTTTTGTTGACAAATAAATCAATTTATTGATTCATTGTTTTTTGCCTTTAAGACACTATAAAACAACTCCCAAGCACCCAGAGACACCAGCATGCAGAGAATCTTCCCCTGACTCTCCTCTACAATACCTCTGAGTTTGGTGAAGATTGGGTTTCGGACACCAGAGATATACATCCACAAAGGGGCTCTCCCGCAGGACGCTGCTATTTAGCAGCTGGATTGTGGAAACCCAATCTTCAACAAACTTGGAGAGATTGTAGAGGAGCATTAGAAGAAGCTGTTCTACAATTTTGGTGTCTCCAAGTGCCTTGGGGGCAGTTTTATAACCCAATGAATTGACAAATCAAAAATCACTACTATTGTGTTGATTCGTATTTGTTGGGGACATTGATTCGTATGAATAAACATCAACAAATTAGCATTTTTGAATGAATCTGGTGATTCATTTTTAAATTTGTGCCCACGTCCATTTTGAACCATTTATTTCTTACCTCCCAACAAATCACTTGGCTACCGAACCTGGATCCTAAGCATGAGAGAAACGAAAACTGTTTTCTTCCAAAAAGGACATTTTTATACTTACAGGCACTCTTGTATTATAGTCATAATTTATTCTGAGTTTTAAGAGCATGAAAATTGTAGTAACATTTGTTAGAAGTAAGCACAAATAAATGAAAGCAAAATAAAAAACATGAATTCTATTACTAGTTGGAGTTTTCAATAATACTTAGGAGCTTAGAATTCATTATTATGGTACCTGCAAAACATAGAGTTTTCAATTCTTAGTAATTCTTATGAAAACCCTGCTTCACTTGAGCCTGATTATTTCTACATACCACTGCATATCACTACATAGATCTACGTACCACCAACTAAGAACCACAGCCATAACTGATGATGTTTCACCATTTGGGGACGCTTATTTTTTAATCCTTGTCATTAGCAGCACACACAGCTGGTGAAAAACCTTTAACCAATAATGTGGAATAGAATCAACTGTGATATAAAGCACTGCACAATGTTTACTATATCATAGTTCATTCTTGGCCCAACTCAAAGTGCTGGTTTTAATTCTGCAAAACTCTTCACAGCATTGGGGGCGTCTTCCCACACTTTGTGACCCACATCCTGCAATCATCATCAAAGCCCCTACCGAATGACCACTCCATTTAGATGCAACAAGTGACCATGCATGAGAGGTATTTCTCAGCAGATTTGTCCCTACTTCCCCCCCCCACACCCGCAGCTTTGGAATGCTGTTGCCAGATGGACCACTTTGTCTCTTTCTCAGTATGTTTTTGGCAATAGACCGTCACCTTTTTATTTTCACAGGCTTTACATAAGCCTGCCAGAGGTATTTTAAAGCAACTTAAGCAATGCAAAACTTTTTCTCTTGTAGTACAGTACTTAAACCCAATTATGTTTTAGTTTCTCTGGTGATTTTAACTAGATCTTTTGGTGTGGCTTTGATGTTGACTTTCACTTGTTTTTAATTCACATTTATGTAAATTGCCCTGAGAACACATTTATTATAGGGTGAATAATAAACAGAAGAGTAAACTTGAATTTGAAATACTTGTCAAAATGGATTATTTACAATTTTAAAAGGCAGAAACTCATGCTTGCAGTAAATGCTTGTTTTATTTCTTTTTTATATGCCTCCCACACTACCCAAAGCTCTCTGGGCTGCTTACAACAATTTAAATACAATAAAAAGATAAAACAATTAAATTACAAGTAAAAATACATCACTTTCTACCATCACTATCTTAGCAAGATAATCAACACACTATACAAGTACCCCTTTATTCCAAGTCAGATCTAAGGCAAAAATTCCTAATCATGTTGATTGTCTTCCACAACAAATTTCAGATCAATCTTTAGTGAGCA